TGAGTTCCTCAAGTTCGGTGCAAAAACGCATGATCGCACGGGTCCGCCCGGTGCGTTTCAGCCTGGGTTGCAATTTACACATATGCAAAAACGCATAAAAACGCACGATCGCACCGGCTTGCCTGATGCGTTCCAGCCTGGGTTTTTATTAATCTTCGGAGTTGTTTTTCAATCCCAACCAATTGCTAACATCAAAGATACACATTAATTTCACGCCTTATTAATCGCGAATGGAAATATCAAAAAACAGCGAGTGTTCCTTAGTTGCACACTTTTACGAGTAGTTAGGTACCAATAAGAAAGCGAACTTTGTTGACGGATTTGATTGTTGCCAAGATACCCTTGACGTAGCTCTGCTTTTGCGCATCGTTCAGGCAGTTTGACTTTAGCTCATCAATAAGTTTCGGTGTTATAACTGAGATGCCCTTTTCCACAAAGTAATCAACGCTCTGTAAACTTCAGCATCAGCCAGTGGTAGGTCATTATTCCGTCATCAGAATGTCCTTGAGAAATTTTGAGGGAACATACACATATACTCTGTTTTTTTTTAAACTGCATTTTGCTGATGAAAATCATTAAACAGAATTGCTTTCAAGACGATACAACTTTTTTCTAAATCAACATTGGAAATTTAAACATGCAAAAGAGGGCGACGTTTATCGTCCTTCCCCGCCTTCATATCCACCCTTATTTCATCTATTACTAGATCTGACATCTTCACAACCCTTACATTGTACCAGTCTCCATGCAGGTCACACCTCTCAACAGTATTATATATCTTTCAATTAGATATTCAAATCCGAACACCAGAGATATGCTTACCTCGAAAAAGGAAGGATCAAGCTGCTCATCAATAGGTAATGTTCGATCGTCTACACGATTCACTTCCGCCATCACTCTCCAATTTTTTTGCTTGAACAGAACTATTTTTCTTGCAAATGATTTGGATTCCCTTTTCTTCTTCACGTACCTATATGTTGATAGCGATACTCATCGGAGAACCGGTGGTTTTGTGCTGTTGCGGATGCGAAGCAACAAGAAAGCTCAAATTATGGTGCTCTCCACAGTGGTCATTTAATATTAAAAGCAACAAAATTCCGGATTCTTGACTTGTTCCGCTTTTAATTTGTAATCTAA